CCTAGGACAATACAGGAAGAATAATTTGTCCTTACGTACCTCTGAAGTGCATAAGAGCCACCGGCTGAAAAGGCCCATTGGAATTAGGTGCATCCACAACCATCCTGTCTCCAGATTTATTGCATGTCAACATCTAAACCTCAACCAGGAAGGCGATCCACTCAGGGCGAGAGGCCAGCCTCCATTTTAGCACAAAAGCAGATCAGAAAATGAAGCTCTGCTGCTGGAGGGAACTGGCTAGTTAGTGATGTAAGCAGTGAAGGAGCCAGCTGATTGGCCGAGCTCAGGCTGCTCTGGAGCAATGAGGGCAAAGGCTGTTGGTAGAGAGGGGGGGCGATTGGCTGAGAGGGTGCACAGGGGGCGGGACATACATTGGAATTTTTTGTCTTGCTCCTCCTCCCCACTCACTGGTCTCTGGTGACGCTCTGCAAGGCAGACCCTGCTACAGATCTTAGATCAGATTGACTTAAGTCTCTTCCACAGTTTAACCATTAGCAGGGTTTTCAGCATAATCTGACTTAGGATAAGCATTTGGAAATAACTTACTCTGAGTGTGCTCAGAGAGAGAGAGGCCCCAGCTGAATCTTCAAAGTCTTTCATTGTTTCCTCCTGTCATCTCTGCTTGGTTCTTTATCAAAGGGAGGTGGGGGAGAGGGTCAGAGGGGGCCTCAAATCTTTGGATTCAATGAGGAACAGGAGGAGATGAGAGGAAACCACATGAGGGGCTGAGGACAGGACTATTGGGGACTTGGTGCTTTCCAGCAAGAAAAGCCAAAGAAACGCAGTGGAGGCTATGGTGTGATTATTCACTACACAAGATGAAAGACCATGTCACTCTATAGTGTAGTGTAATGCTGAATATAACCCATAGCTTGAAATCAAATAAATGATTAGATCCAGTCCTGTAAGACAGTTTAAAAAGACATATAAAAGACTGTCGCATGCTTCTCTCCAATAAGAACAAAATGAAACTACAATCAACCATCTTCAGCGGCTCCACATAATGTACTTTGTGAGAGGATTTTATGAGTCACACACTATTCGGAGCAAAGGCAGAATTTGCTGCATTATGTTATTCTGAGTGACGTACATGTGCTTAGAAAAATTAGCTGTAAACAGGAAATGAAAGCAAAAGGATAGAATATTAAATACACGGGGCACACAACAGGAAAATGCTGCAGCTCTACACGGCATTCACACACAGCCTGTCTGCAAGTTTATCTACTGACTCTTACGCTTTGTTTTTGAAACAATGAAATGAAACAAATAGGTGTCATATAAAATAACTATATTCTAATTCTCTAATTATATAGGATATGTACTGTATATTTAGACTAAAGCTTTAGTGAATATCCATTTTGGAAATCATTACCCCTACAGAAGTCCAAAACTCCAAGGTGAATAATCTGCATTTCATCTTTACATAATGAAGCAGTTTCCACTGGTTTCATGTGATTTATCACAGGACACACTGAGCGAAACCACATTCATGCCACAAGGCCGACCAGAGTTTTCATAACATTGGGACTCACCACACCATTTTCACAGTCCTTTCACAGTCTTTTAATAACAAAGGGACTGTTCTGTCTTCCAGCAATGGACACAGTTAGACAATTAATTAAATTTTAATTAAGAGTCCACCAAAGACACTGTGATGATCAGCAGTCCTGCATCTGAAATTACCACTCAATAAACATTACATTCTGGGAAAATGTTGAGGTCTAAATGTCAAAATGTCTTTTTATTAAATAAAACAAATGTCCTGGTGCAGAAAACTGGCTAGATTTTTAAAATATATGACCCAAAAATATATGTCTGAATTATTTTGACAGATACAATTTCTTCTTGGCAGCTAATTCTTGCCTTGGTAGGTGTAGTAGCATGTTCATTTATCCTTTTTATTTTCATCATTTTTTCTATTTACTTCAATGAGGGGAGGAGAGGCCAAGTGTATAACTAAGCAGTTCTCACTCTCTGCCATTACATTCCACAGCCATGACAACGGGCGCCGGTATTTGCAGAGAAGCTGCCACTTACTTCCTACTAGCAGGATAGACTGAGTAAATAGACAATTTCTCTCGTTGGCAATAACCTGCATTAGTCAATAAATCCCACGAAAAGAACAAAACCAACAATGAACTGATCTTTATAACATGTATCATCTGTGTGGCCTGATACAGTAGTATTCATGGACGGATTATGAGAAAATGTACCCTTTGGCACAGACAGGTAAAAGGCCCCCCAGCCCTCCTATATAGGTCCTGCAGACTTTGTGTTGTTTACTGAGAGACAGACTAACACACTGTTGGTTTTGATCTTTTCATGAGGTTTTTGAGAGTAAAAAATTACCAAACAACACAAGCCTTAACCTTCAAATGAAGTCAACAGCCTAACCCAAACAGACAGGACAGTCAAAGATACCGCACCGATTCTATTTTCAACCAGAAGATGGCAGCACAGGCGGTGACGTCTGTAAGAGCCCTCTGTAACACAAGCTCATCAATAAATGTTTCACCAACATTTGGAACAACGCACTGTTTATTCGTCCTCACCAGACAGGCAGTGTGGCCGTACTGTCAAAGCTGTGTCTGCAGCAGCAAGTGACCAAAGAGTTTCTGTGGTCACTTGTTGTTAAAGACCAGCTAAAATGTATCATATTTGTTCCCTAGTCAAAATATACACAACTTCTCATCTGGTAATGTCACACAGACCCATGTTTCCCCTCCATCTCCCTCTCTCTCTCATGCACACACACACACACACGCACACACACACACACACACACACACACACACACACACACACACACACACACAGAGAACAAAAAAGTGACTTGAAAGCCTGCGGCATTGACTGCCCATTTTGAGAGGTCTGCAAAAAAAAAAAATAGCTTTCTCTTGCAGCAACAAACAAACTCCATTTCCAAATACTGCCCTGACTTCTCTTGTATTCTCTGTGTACACTGACTCTGGTCTCTAAGTACTACTCAGTGAGATGTGATGTTTTATGATATTTATTTAGTATTTTTCTCTGTAGCGTTATTTTGATGAACAGCAGTTACAGTTATTTATTTGGAGCCACGCACACACAAGTGCCCAACCCACCAAATATTGTGAGGTGACGCTAGGACAGTATAACATCTTACACATAACATCATATTGCAAACAGAGAAATTGTTTAAAAGGTATAGCCAGTAAACCACACAACAAATCCTTCTTTGCAGGGAGACCATTGAAGCTGCCAGTTTCTATATCTAAGGCTACTGCAACTGAATGTAACTGTAAAGCTGAAATATTTCACTATAATCTGTTACAAAAATAATGAATCACACAAAATAAAGATTTCAGAGATCCAGAGAAGCTGGTGCGAAAGTCCTCGTTAAAGATCTTTCCGGCAAACGATTATTTCTGCCATCGATTAGTCTGGCAATTTTTTTTTTTCCAGTAATCAATTAATTGTTTGGTCTATAAAATGTAAGAAAACAATGACAAATGTTCATTACAGGAGAGGAGCTGGAACAAGGTTATATTTAACATTTTTACTTGAAAAATTATTTTTGAATTCTTATGATTTATTAAAATAGATGCTGGTCAATTCTCTGCCCATCTACAAACTGATGAATCATCTAGTCTTTCAGGTTTACTTCACATATGTCACAAGTATGGGGGATAAGTCTGAAATATTAGCATCTGCTTTTCCAAGCAAAAAGTATAGTTTAGAATGAAACTTAGAGACTTATATGCAACATACTACATACAGCTACAACTTATCCATTGTAAGTGGGTGACTGAGAAAGTAAGTATCTTGACTGCATCCGACCTCTAATCTCTGAGCAGTCCATGCACTGTCAGGAGTGTAATTTGTGGTCATGCTCAAGGCCCTGCCTGGTCATGCATGTTTGTCCAGGTCACTACCGTCAACCGAAGGGTCAGGGAGATGATTTTCTTATCCCTCTACACTCTCTCAGCTTCTTCGCAAAACTCCCAGCAATAAAACGTGTTCTTAAATATACAAGTAGAAAACAGGAATTGTGACACATTGGCGCCACGTCCCCAATCAAACTTGCAAATCCCCTGGGATGTGCACCTCCTTTGTGTCTCCGTCGTGTCACCCAGCTCATCCAGGTATGAGAACAAAGCATAGCTGGGTGTAGTTTACAGGAAACCACTTAGGGTCAGATCCTGTCTGTAATGATGTCTGTAAACAAAGAAGCCATGAAAGATTGATGTAAATGTTCAAACCTCAACCTCACTGTTTTGTCTAATAATCGGCATCAGTTTGATATGTACAAACAAAGTCAATCAATACGATAAATTAAAACACTGACAGTGGGGCCAGCTTGCCTTGCTATGATTATTAAGGTTTGTTTACTGATTGGTGATCACTGAAATAACTTTAAAACAAGTCCAAATCTCCCATCACAGTTTTAATACTGCTTGGTCAGGTTGTGTTATTTAATATTAATAACATACTGTAAGCTTATGCTAGAGTGCAGTGCAGGCAAGTCTGAGATGCCTCCTTCTCCCGATCAGGGTTTACAGTTTATGTTTGATTTGGGCTTATGTTTTGAGTTATTATTGGATGACCCAGATTCTACTGTCTTCTGGTCTCCTATCCATGCAGTCTGAGTCAGAGTTATCTTACATGAGCGAGCCCTCCGGGGGTAATATCTGTTTCCTCCAGGTACGGCTGGAGATGCAGCTGATTGCACATCATTTGCATTACAGATAAAGCTGTTGGGCAGTCTGCTTAGCTATAAATTATGTAGTGAGCAAAGACCTCAAGGTTAAAAAGGTGGTTATGAGGATCCACCAAGGCTATGAATTGTTAATATGACTCTCTTCATCCATATAGGCCAAACATTCAATCTTAGAGAGCATTTTCCAGAAGAAGAGTATCAGCTAATGAATGTGAGTTATTACAGATGAGGAAAATATAGAGGAGCAGGAAGCAGGAAAAAAAGCTCCTTATAGAGATAATGTATAGTGAAGGAGTCATACCTGCTAGTGCAGGTAGTTTCTGTAGTTCTCTGTTAGCACTGAGGGGGAAAGAGGAAGTGCTGAACCTCTTCTCCCTCTTCATGGCCGAGTGTGACCCCGGTTGCTTTACCCTCATCAGCTGAGTTGCAGGAGGCACTTTCTTATTGGAGCCCTGCAGAAACAAGAGGTGCAGAGGAAGGGCTCCCGTTACTTGAGCAGGGTAGGGCAAGGTAGTTCCTTCTCCAAAGGAAATTATACAGGAATCATTTTACTCAACTGTCGGAGGGGAGAGGAGAGGAGAGGAGAAGAGAGGAGAGGAGAGGAGAGGAGAGGAGAGGAGAGGAGAGAGGGTGACGATATTGTGGTTAAGGGTCAAGTTCCTTTCCGAATCAGATCAGGTGATTCTCAGTGAAGCAACCTGATCACAGCCGGTGGTGTGCTGTACCGCATCTGTTGACAGAGTTTGTGATGGGCCTCAGTGGACAAAATGATTGAGCACAGATAGAGCTGATAAAGCCGTCGATGGGAACAAACAGCAGGTCCAACAGTCAATCAATCAGGTCTCTTCCAATCTCAATGTACTACACTCAGCATCAATGATGTAGCCTACGTCAGAAACAATAAGGACAAAAATAGCTTCTACAATGCCTAGTACTATACTCAGAGGCAAAACGGGGGGTGATGGGGAGGGCTAGGGTTCGAATGCAAGTGCTTTCAGAGAAAATAAAGTCATAAGATCCTGCTGTGATGTCACATGAGAAACTCTGTGTGCATTTCATGAGAACAAAACTCATTAAATCTAAAAACAAATGGATGATTAGTGAGTTTCTAGAGAACTTGTCAACAATTGGTCACAGAGAGCATGTGTAAAATCAACTGTTGAAACAAGACAGTGTAAGGAATTTAGAGCATAAATACGAGATTTAATCCGTCATACCCTTGCGTGTGCTTGTGATAGGCTATATTTAATGTGTATGTGTGTTTGAGCTATAGTAAGTCAGTTGCTATCATCACAGTGAAGCTTTTGAGTAGAATCTAAACACTGGCTACCCAAGGGCAAAAAGATGTTTTCAGAAAACCTCTAGTCCTCATGCTGTTTGCTCATTATGACACCGATTAACATCAAAAACAAACCAAAAAAGACTAAATTAACAAATTTTCTAAAAAGCACATTAACTAAAAGGGGTCTGTGCCCCAGTATACAATTCTTTATCATCTCTATAGAAACAAATAGGCTATTACTCAATACTTTTTATTACTTTTTGTTTTGAAGTTTACACTGACTTTACTCTGTGATGTGTGATGTGGTATCCCATGGTATATATACACATCATAGTAGTAGCATTCTGTGCCGCTTAGTGTAATTACTCCATCATTTTACATTTTTTATAAAGTAGCCAATGCAAGCCCTCTCTAGACAGTGAAAATACTTACTTCATGGTCATCTGCAGGCCCATTTTTACTTCCAGATTTTTTAGATCTTCCAGATTTGGATGATTCCTGAACAATGATAAACAAATAAATGAGAAAATAAGATAATACAATAACACTTATTAAAGAACTTATCAAAAGCTACTTTACCTTGTCTTTTTTGCTCTTGTGAGGCATACTGAGATGGGAATCCCTGGTGTCAGCAGGTCGCGGTGAGGCTGTGGTCACACGCCGGCAGCCTGGTTAACACGTCTGACTCTACACACTGATGTGGCTTTCACGACTGACCATCCAAACACCATGTGACTGTGCCACAGCAAGGTGTCATCCTATTTCCGCGGTGGCCTCGTACCACAACTCACGCTTTTCTAAAAAGATATAGCTCATAGTTGAATTAAAAAAAACATAACGATTACATTCGCTGTCAACGTCCAACTTACTGCTGCCGTGGCTGCACTTTCTGGTACCCGCTGTATCCACCAGCATGAGCGAGAGACGTGTGTCCTGTGCCGGTTGTAGTATTCGGTAACTGCCGCTGGAGGGCAGTGTTGTATCTGGAAAAAAAGGAGGCAGCGGCCAGTATGCCTCTTTGGCCGGGGTCTGTGGCGCTGACTCAGGACTGTTCTGTGTCAATATGGTCTCGAAGTGCTTCACTAGCAACTCACTTATTTTAGGTATTTATCACTCATTCAAGTAATGTAGCAATATATGTTATAAAAGTGAATTCGCCAGAGGGGAGGTGAACTCAGAGAGAAAAAACGCCGACGTTGGGCGAGTGAAACCAGTAAAAACGCAGCTTGTTCTGCTTGAGTGTTTTGTTTTGTGTGTGTAATAGATAACTACATAACTCAAAGCCAACATGGAGGATACTTTCTTCCTCGCTCACCGATTGGAGCAAAGCAGCGCTCAGTGCTTCCACTGCGAGCTGTAATTCATATGCGCCAGACTTTACATGAGGTGTATTGACTTTCCCGTTTGACACCCGCCTGACATGGCCATCTATTTCTCTTAATAGGTCTTAGTGGGTCAATAAGTCGGATTTGTGTCCCATGGAGACCTGGGGCAAAAATTTTGTTGTTTGTTGTTGCCCCTAGTGACCCCCAGAGTTTCATTATTTCCCCAGGCACAGAAGCCAAACATTTCTCTAAAGCTGCAATGATTAGTCAATTAATTGACTGACATAAAATCCATTGACAACAGTTTTGAAATTGATTAATCGTAAAAAGTCATTTTTGAGTGAAAATGTCAAAAATTCAAGGCTTCTCAAATGTGAATACTTTCTAGTTTCCCCATCAACTATTTTGGCTGTTGGTCAGACCAAAATGGTCAAAGGTTGATAATATGACCTTAAGCACTTTGAATAATCTATGTTAATGTTAGAGGCTTCTCCATGTATAGGTTACTTTGTGTCACAGAGGTTAGACAGAGGTTGTCTTAAAGGAAAGGTACTCTGAAAAAAGACAAACCAGACAACATGAAGTTGTGTCACCCTTCTTGACCAAATACACTAATATTAACAGTTGGCATGGAAATGTCCACACTCTGATAACTAGAAATGTTTCATATCTACTCTGATGCAATTTTTCATAGTTAAATGCTAGAAAACAATGGCAGATCTTTGCATCTCTAACTGCACGGAATATAAAGAAACACCACCCAAGTAATTTAACCTAACTTATGTAATAATTCTATAAAGATGAAATATGGAACCTACAAATACATATTTAATTTATTCAAATATGATGCCATTTATTTTGCCCCTTTAGTTGAGCTGCCTTCACAGCAATGGGATATAATTGTCTTTCTCTGCTTATTCTATGCTTGTCTTTGGTGTGTGTGTGTGTGTGTGTGTGTGTGTGTGTGTGATGTTGTAATATGTAACTCTGTCCATATGGTGGCAGTGTTGTATTCATTTGAGTTTTCTGCAACATTTACTCCTACTCTAATAGTTTTCATTTACCTAAATGCAGGTGTACACAAGGAAATTCATAAATCTTCCATTTGGGACAAATTCTTCTTTCTGTGTGTTTGTGTTTAGGAGATTGTTGAAAATTCTGTCAGATGAGATTACTGTCTTTTTCTGGTAAGACAGGGTGGAAACATAAACCACACATATGATCCTTCATGAGACGATGCTTCTTGTTGATTTTCTTCGCCTCCGCCTCTAGGTTGAAAAATTGATGAAGTCCTACCTAAAAAGAATTTAAACGACAGCTTACCTGTCCTTGTGACACAGGAGACGTGCTTTCACATCTACAGGGAACACACATGTTTTATCATGACTGATTGAAGAAGAAAGTCCAGATTGACATGAGCAATGAGATGCATGTGTGGGCTACAAACAGAGTAGGATTGTTTTCTGTTCTGGCTGTCGATGCAGTGCACTGGTGTGTATTGATTAGGTTGTGAGAGTGCTCTGTTCTCTGGATCATTGTGTTTCCATCTCTGCTTCTGTCCATGGTCAGAGCTTCATCATCAACACAGCGTTATTACTGGGTGATACGGCTCCCTTCATTTCCTGTCTCGGCAACAGCGGTGAATGCAACAACACCGTGTGTGTATGTGTATGTACATGGTTGGGTGGACGGATGACTTGTGCATGTGACAGCACAATATGTCCTTTCTTCACAAAGAAATGCAATAAATAAAGTACAGGCAGCTGATGTAATGAAGAATATCAGTGATGTGCGAAACGAGTTGTTTTTCTACCATCCTTCAATAAATGAATAAATATGCTCAATAGCATTGGCTTCAGGCTGATAACAACTCTCTTTCTCAAATATTTATTTTCTCTTCTCATGACACTTCATTACCTTGGGTTTTAAGCTTTCTTTGAGAATTATCTGGTTTAAAGTCTTTAACCTCTGTACAACCATTCAACCTGTTTTACACCAGTCCTGTGCAGCACAGTCAATGAAGTGTGAGTTGCCATAACACCAGCTTGTTTTATGAGAAAGCTGTCCTGCCAATGGGGCTAATGAGTGGGGCTGCTCAACAAGAGCTTGTTTACCTTTCCAGGAGAGAGAAATAGAAAGGCGTAAAGGGAGAGAGAAATTGACAGCTTGTTATAATGGAAGAAAATTGGCAGAGAGAACAAAAGAGAGCTATGGGGGCAGAAGGGGAAAGATGGCTTGGTTGACTGAAATCATGGTGTTGTATCACAGGTGCATGATCCCCAATGATAACACACAAATGTGTATTGATTGTCACACTCAAGCTCACACTTGCACGTGTGTTTACCTGCATTTATTCTGAAAGGGAACTGTGATTGCCTGGCGGATTGATTTAGAGAGTATGTCATGTTTTTATTTGAATTTTGGTGATTGCTGACTACTCATCAAGTGCTACCCAATTTCCATTTGTCCAGCAATTCAGTTCACGACAGGATACGTCTAAAACTAATTAACTAAATTCTCATGTTTAGGGTTCAGTGATATTGGAGGTGTCCATTATACTTGTATTAAGCTTATGTCTCTTGATTCAGTTCAAATTAAATTAAGTCTTACTATTCTTAGATCCTGAAAGTGTGGTTCCAGACCTTTCTACCCACATCTCAAATTTTAACAACAATTCTGACTTTAGTAGCTGTTGTGGAGCTTTCGATCATATCACATGATATTCATCAGTGGATGGAGGTTTTTCAGTTGCTGTTTAATAAGAAATGTTCAAATTTCCTTTTTTAGCTCAGCACTTAAAGGACTTTTTTTCCATGTTGGCTTAAAAGTTTAATCAATCTGGCCTCAACATCTATACAGAAGCTGTTCTGGAGATTTATATCATATCAAATGATCTTGATCATCAGATTAAATTAAAATGACTATTTTGAATATTTAATGTAACACAATTACGAAATGTATTTGCTTGCTTCCCTTACAACTTGGCCTGAGGCTGGAGCAAGAGGAAAAGCTGCCGTTAGCATGTTAACATGCACATTAGCAACAATTGGATGTTGACATGCTTATGTTTAGCATGATGGAGCGCTCTTACTCAGTGCACAGAGATAGCATCTTGGTGCCCTCACCTTGCCCCAGCAGATGGCTTGTTTGATGGGCTTGGAAGAACATCATGCACTGCCTGCTTCAGGAACATCATCCTCTGGGATTCAACTTTCCTGTTTCTCCAAGGTGACCTTATAGTCTTTGCGCCTGTAACTACTTTTTGCATTCACCTTGCTTCTTCATGCCAACTCTTCTGGATCTCACCTCGTGTTCTGCAACCTACCAGCTTCAACCTCTTTTACTTTCCCTGGGGGTTTGGAGCACTCCCCAGATAGCTCTTCCCTGGGCTTTACCCTTTTACCCAGCATTTGTGCTGCAGCCTGGTTTCTTCCTTTTACAGAGATGTTGTACTTTCAGACACCTTTTATCAGTCAGCCTGAAAAAATATGGGCTGACTGTACATCTAAGCACACTCAGCTTAAAAAAAAACATCTTGGGGTTCTTTCTAAAGCTTAAATTTGAAATGTTGACACTAATACTGATAGCACAACCAAAGACAGGATGTGTCTTCACACTCACTCTTTTCACACTCTTTGAATTCATTGGCGACACCAGTAATGTTTGTATTCACTCACATAACACACACCAATGTTGTAAATTATGATCATTTAAGAAATACTAGTAAATGTATGTTAATATGACTCATATTTACATGGTCCACAAATTACTGATTGGCCTATAAGCATTGGTGGTACCGTGCTACATACATGCACAAAACAAAACTGCTACTGACAAGATGTTTGCCTCCTTTTGCAATCTACAGCAAGATAAACTTCTCCACAAAAATATACATTATCTTTTTATCTTCCTTGATTTTTTCAGAGAGATAATACGAAGATAATCCCAGTCAAAGTCTGCTTATTATCTTCCATCCATTACACGTCATTAAGGTTGATGACACGCAAGTCACTTCTACTCCAGAGCTTCGTTAAGAACAATTATGTCAACCGTACAGCTCTGAAACAGAGTCAGTGTCTACTGACTGGATGATTTGTTACACCTAGTTTCAGTAGACTTGTACCACCACACTCACCTCTGTCTAGCTGTAGCAGTTGCAGACCTTTTCAGAATCAGATCGTTCTTTCCCCTTTGACCTCCTCATTTAATTCAGCACCAGGAAAAGTAAGAGAGACTCACTGACCAGCATTTACAAGGTGTGTGGGCTACAGGGTCTTCAATGTGTTTTGGGGTCTGGTTATGCTTGTAAA